TGGTTCTGAACTGTTCGAGCTGGCACATTGAGGCCTCGTCTTCTCGCTTCAATGGAAGCCATAGTTGCTCCGTAGCTAATTGTACGGAGAGAATATGCGGCTGTTCTCTCGATATTCAACGCCGCATTGTGAAGTGAGTGAAGAACATGATATTCACCGATGATTGCATTTCCGGAACTCAGGACATCAGACAGATGTGACCGTGTTGGTTCATCGATCGGTGATTCTCTAGCCGATGGCTCTGATTCTCCCGACGTCGAGTTGGCCTCCTCAGTTGTACTGGTGCGTCGCAAGGGTTGCAACTCGATGCCGTCCTCCTCATCAGCTGGTAATGAGCCGGGCATGTCCCTTGATACTCCACGCTCTTCCGCATCTAGATCTTCTATGGTAGGAGCCATCTCCTGAGCCACGTCAGGTACCATAGGTCGGAAGGTCTTTAGAGTCACCCGTAGTCTCTCACGCTCAGTATGGACCGTCAGCATAAGGCACTGAACGGCGAGGATCATGACATCTACTAGAACATAGTAAATGCGAGAAGTGGGGGGCTTTTGCCCTATGAAGTCGATGACTAGGCCACCGTGCATATAGCCTCGGTGGTAGCCAGGACCGACAGGCAAAGAAACAAAAATATGCAGAAGTATGCAAATGATGTTGGGAATGAGAACGAGGCACACGTGTATAGGACTCGCAGGCATTAAGAAAGGAAATGATTCATCCTTCGGCGTGAGATATAGGTACTGGCCAACAGATCTTAGGATGAATCGAAACATTGAGCACCTAGAGGGGGGCACCACTTGTAAGCGTTGTTCAGGAAAGCTGGGCAGGTAGTCATACTCCATATAGTACAGTCCGCTCAGCTCCGCGAAAACCAGGGTATCAAGACTCCTGAGCAAATGTGTGACAAATTCCAACTTTCTCGCTAACCCAGGGTTGCGCTTCTTCCTGCTTTTCTTCTTCTTACGACGCTGAGGGTGCAACTGGGCGCGCGACCGAGCTGATCTCGAATGCTCGCGTGGTAGATTCCATGTGACACGGCTGCCGGATGAAACATTGACTGGTTCGGCCGTGGAAGCTTCATTCGGCGCCGTAGAGCTCGGCGAGGCATCATCGCTCATTCTCGAGTATCGTCATCTACATCTGCATCTGAAGGGGAGCTAGTTCTGCATGAGCAGGGTGACAGCTCAGGAGAAGCACCCGCGGCTCATGAAGTGTTGGTGGAAGGTATATGGCTGCAGCAGGGAGTTGTCTATAGATTCAAGATGGGTATAGCAATTCAGTTTCGACAGGCGCTATGGGAATGTATGATGTCGGCTACAACAGGCTCGTGAATTGAAGTGACTTGTTGCAGCATGAGGCGACTTGAAGCGCCATGATAAGATTGCAGGGATTACATGTAACAGCCCCCAGGGCTTAGGTGCGTCGGCAGACACATCCAGGATCCATACATGAGTCCTACTTTTGGTACTGTGGCCGGGAAAAGGATGGCCCGACGATGTGGGACAGATGTCTTCCCACAAGCACCCACCTACCAGAGTACCCCGCCATCGGACCGCTTTGGTGGGCGATGCAGTAATACTCCAACGGCCCAAATAATTTCTGCCCTCCGTGACTCAGACGAACAACGAAAGAGCCAGCTCGCCGTTTTCTCTTGGCTCCTCACAACCCAAAATCCTCCGACATGACGACTTCAAGCTCCGCTCCTTCGGGGGATATTACCTCCCAGATCCTTCAGGCCCTCTCGGAAAAAAGCCCCTTGCTCTCCTCAGAGGCCTTCCCCACCATCGGCTTCCAGGACATCAAGGCTGCACTTGATCGTCTGGCTTCACGATCCATGATCACATACGAGACAATTGATAAAGAAGAGGCTATCCTTGAGCCCGAAGCGGAGCAAATTGCCGAGCATGGTAGTCATGAGGCGCGTGTTTTTGAGGCGCTTCGAAACGCCGTGGAGGGGTTATCGATCCAGGACCTTGAGAAGGCCATTGGCGATAAGACGGTGACCAAGGTCGGACAGGGCAAGGCTTTCAAGGAAAAATGGATTAAGAAGAGCGCCGACGGCAAGCTGGTAGCCACTGTATGTCGAGCTTATAAGTTTTGTATGTGAATTTGGTTTCAACTGTTAGCTAACCTCAATCAACAGGCCGAGTCCATCGAAGATGTCACCCGAGCGCAGCTACAGAAGATCAAGGAGACACGGACACACGAGCCCAAAATCTTGACCGATCTGCGAAAACGAAAACTGATCAAGATGCAAAAGGTCATCAGCTTCAAGATTGACAAGGGGCCCAAGTTCGCCCTCGAGATTCAGAAGGAGGAGACCGACTTGACAGCCGATATGATTGCCTCTGGATCATGGAAGACTGCCAATTTCAAGCCCTACAACTTCAAGGCTCTCGGCGCGGACCAAAATGCTGGCGCACTTCACCCCCTGAACAAGGTCCGACATGAATTCCGACAGATTTTCTTCGAGATGGGTTTCGAGGAGATGCCTACCAACAAGTTTGTCGAGACTGGATTCTGGAACTTCGATGCCCTTTTCGTGCCCCAGCAGCACCCCGCCCGTGATCTTCAAGATACCTTCTACATCTCAGACCCCAAGGTGGGAGACGCGCCACGATCGGAGGAAGGACAGAACACAGAGGAGTACTGGGAGAACATCAAGCAGGTCCACCAGAATGGCAAGTTTGGGTCAATAGGCTACAGATACCCCTGGTCAGCGGAGGAGACCAAGAGACTGGTGCTCAGAACCCACACTACTGCCATTTCAACGGCCATGCTTTACAAGCTTGCAGCACAGAAGGGACCTGATGGGCGCCCACCTCCAGCGCGATACTTCTCCATTGATCGTGTCTTCCGAAATGAGACAGTTGACGCCACCCACTTGGCCGAATTCCATCAGGTTGAGGGTGTTATTGCCGACTACGGTCTTACCCTTGGTGGTCTGATGGAGTTCATGGAAGTCTTCTTTGCTAAGATGGGCATCACCAACCTCAAGTTCAAGCCGGCCTACAACCCTTACACCGAGCCCAGTATGGAAATCTTCAGCTATCACGAGGGCCTGGGCAAGTTGGTGGAGATCGGAAATAGTGGCATGTTCCGGCCTGAAATGCTGGAACCCATGGGTCTGCCAAAGGACATGCGGGTGTTTGGCTGGGGTCTGTCCCTTGAGCGACCGACGATGATCAAGTACAAGATCTCTAACATCCGAGAGCTGCTGGGCCACAAGGTTGATCTCAACTTTATCGAGCGGAACCCTGCGGTGAGATTAGAGAAGGAGTAAAACAGGGGTTATGGATCTGTGCTAGGTAAAAATAAGAACAAAGGAAAAGATACGTATGATGCATTCGGGGTGTGTTAGAGAGCGGCATCTAGAGGACCCGGTGTAGTTGGTAGTATCATGACTAGACGAAAAAAGAAACAAATTGGGAAAGCTCGTTCAAGCGTCCATTTGTTCGTCTGGATCTGAGATCAGGGGTCCCCTGACAAGATGATGGCTGATGAGAATAGACCCTGACTAGAGACGGGAATCGGGGCTTGAGATGGAGTCGTGTCGTCAGTGAAGCATGTCTCAGAGATAGCGCCCCATAAGTAATGAAGCAATTCACATCGTTGACGGTGATTACGCACACGACAGCTGGACCCCTGTTTTGAGGTTTCTCGGCAGTTGATATTGTCCCAATGACTGATGGTAGTAGCGTCTGTGAGCTTCATTCTTGTTCATGTGATTGATGGCATGGAATGATAACCCACGACTGCAAGTTGCGAGTCCAGCTACTGCGTCCCCCCGCTTTCGGCATCTTCCTTGTCAGCTTTGTCTCTCGATGGCTCTTGGGCCCACGGCTCCGAACAGATCGGCCCCACGACCCTTGAGCCCCGCCCCGCGTGTATGCAGGCAGGCAGGCAGGCTAGGACGGGTGCATCCACTTCAAACCTAGGTCGTCATTGAGATCCAGAGACGACTTTGACGTCTGTTATTCATCACCGCTATCGAGAATGTGTATGTGCCCGCGCCTTTTACCTATGTACTTCTCACAGCATCATATCGCCCCGCGCCTCGAGGAAGCAAACGAGCAGCTCAGAGTAGGCAATTGATCCCCATGAACTTTGTAAAATGCAACGCTGCCTGCAAGCAAGCATTGGCACATGCATGATAGCTACTTGTCGGTTGCGGCCTGGGGACAGTAAACGCCTGTGGCGTCCTTCCCCGCGTAAAGTTACTGGCGGTTGTGATTCCCCTGCCAAGTTGATGGGTGGTGTGACCTCTCCCAGCTCTGCTTTGAGGTATTGACAAGACCTCCCAGGTTCTCCGCGTTTGGATTGTGGGAGGGATCGGCGGGCTTAGTTAATGGATCAAAGAGTCATGATCACTGTTCATAAGTGGGATGCCCATCGTTTCACCGTTTCGTCCCCCTCGCAATTTTCCATCAGATTCGTAGGGAAGCCTTTCCAGTATCTGAAGATCGCAACGTGCTGGTTGGTCATAGTACCTAACTCCCCAAGGGAACTGTCGCAGACAGCAAGACAGAGGCGAATGGGGACGCCACCTTTGTCATGGCGTGGTCGGCTATGCTCCAAAAAGGATGGCCGGCACGTTTGAATGGGATGTCTGGCAAAAGCTTATGCATTGACGCATCTATTGGCCAGTTCGCTTGCAGCTCTGCAGTGATGATGGGTGATTGACTTCCCTCCCGTGGCACGCGAGATCAAGCCCTGGCTTGGTCGAGGTATCCCTAGCTCAGACAGCGTAGCAGTCGCTCTTCCCTTTTGCTGCAACAAGAAAGGAAAGGTCCATGGATCGACGTGAACTGGCCTGATCTCTCCTCCTCTCGCAAGATATAAACTCATCTGCTCCCCTCCATTTGACACAGGTATTCTGTCTGCCAAACTACCTACCTACATTGTACCCAAACACTACTGCCAGACCATAACAACGAAGGATATATATCCAAATCCACCAACTAACTAAGTACTCACTTTAATCACTCCAATCAACCAATACCATGGATTCCGGTGCTCCTCAGACTGCTCCTACCGGCAATGTCAGCGGCCGTCGCCGAGTAAGTTCCGTCTTACACCTCTTTTGTAAATACCAATTTACTAACACATTAATCATCAGAGCTCAGGCTTCATGCCAGCCTTCGCCAGCCTCAGCGAACAGAAGCGAGCCGGTGATGCCAACGCCGCCCGTCGTGCGAGTATGTCGGACCAACAAGCAAAGGGTGGCTTGTTCAGCCAGTTTTTCCACAAGTACGTCACTACTATCACATCCACAGTCACCTTCTGATATTGACAACTATCACAGCAACTTCGGCAAGAACGCTGCCAAATAATTGAAATGAGAAGATGATAAGTTGAAAGCATTGGCACTGTATTATTAGTATCATGGATTGCAGGGTATTTGGGCCCTTGAGCATTGTTTTGTTTGCGATTGGTAATTACCTATATTAGGTAGGCTAAGAAGATGTGAAGTCAGTTCAGATATTGGAATAGTTCAAAATGAAATGGTGCTTCCTAACTTTTCTGCACTCTGATTTTATGAAGAGTATTTTGCGATTTACAAGTATAAGACAGTAATCTAGGATTTAAAATTTGCGAAGAAGTTGTGTCAGGTGATTATACATTGAAGCAACTCGTGTTATTCACTAAGTCGAAGGTATTCCTCCTGAGGAAGTTACCTTTGCCAAAAATGCTGGTTCGGCTATTTCATAGTGCAAGAAAAGATTCTTTTATCATTACCATGCGACCTGACGCCTCCGCAATAATGCAATAATGTAATATACATCCGTATATCCGACAGTCATGATAGATGTATCCGCAACCATCTAGTCTAGATGCTTCTAAGTGCGTATCCAAGCAACCTGTTTACATCTTCATATTCTATGCTTTGACCATGAAAATCTGTACAAAGTTAGTAACGTAGCCATGTAGTTGCGAAAAGAGGAGTATAAACCTGGTTCAGTGCCTTGGTGTCAAGCACAGCCTGTCTCTTTTGCGCAATAAATCGTGACCGCACAAAATTCCTACTTCCTCTAGGGGTCGATGTGCCAGATGGTGTCGTGGCTCCTGTTCCAGGGACCGAAGCCGTGGGTGTAGAGTTCTGTGTGACTGATGTGCTGGTTGATTCGGATGCTTGCTCTTCCTTCTTGCGCATCTTCTTATCTTTCTTATCTTTTTTAGACTTCTTCTCCTTCACCTTTTCTTCGTCTGAGCCCTCAGGGGACCGGCTCTTGTCCTTGGACTTGGACTTTCGCTTCTTTGAGCGCTCTTCGACGTTCTCGTCGTCTGAGATGTCCTCTGCGGGCTTTTTGCGGGACTTCTCTTTCTTGTACTTTTTTTCTTTCTTCTTCTTGGCCTTGGCGTCGTCAATATCGGTCTCCTTTCCTCTTCGCTCTTCCTTGCGTCTTTTCTTGCTCTTTGAATCGGTTTCTCGACTTGAGGTTTCCTCCGCGTCCTCGTCGTCGGTTGCCTTTCTCTTCTTAGACTTCTTCTCCTTTTTGGATTCTTTTACTGCAGGGGCAGATTCCATGACAACGTCCTCGTCGGAGTTTGACTCTGCTTGCTGGTCGGCCGTCTTCTCTCCCACTCCCTTCATCTCATCGCCAACCAGTAGGCCACCGTAGACGAACTTCATGGCTCCGTATCGTTGCTCAACAAAGTGGTGCGTCTTTACAGCGAGTCGCGCTTGCTGATCCTCCTCGATAGCATCATCCGTCTTTCCGTTGAGTCGACTGAGCAGATCTTGAAAGACATCTAGACCAGTAACTTCATCCTCCTTCGACTTGCTGAAGCCCAATCCCTTCATGTCATCCTTCAGAACCACGCGAATGTATGAGGCGTTGGCGGCCGTGTGCAATTCCGAGTGCGGCGCATCTTGTGCTCCGAGAAACTGGCCTGGTTGCCAGCCTTGAGCTCGCAGAATCTTCTGGCCGAAGGTATTCGTATCTTTAGTCCATTTTGTGTTGTTTGGATCCTTGTTGATCTTCCGTCGACTGTAGTCGGTTAGCGCATGCCGTAGAAGAACGCGACTTGAGAAAATGTGCCCCTTACGTCTTGTTTTCTGCGAGGAGTCCCATTTTTGCGATCTTGAAGTCTTGAAAGATCAGATCGCTCAATGCGTTCGTGATGGCAGAGTAGGATAAGCCTACCTAGAAGAAAAAAAAGGTGGGCGGTGGGAATGTGTGGCCGCGAAAATCTCTTATCGCAGGATATCATTGGCCAGGCAAAGGACATGAGCGCTTCCCTCCCTCTGCGCTAGCTTATCTTCACTGAGACTTACCGAGATCTCCATGAACTCACCACCTTAGTAGAGGGGAATGTAAAAACTTCAGTTGGCCCCTGTAAAGTCAAGATAGTCCAGATATTATAGCATGAGCTTATAGGTTCTTCCACTAAGATATTCTCTAGGAGTGTATCAAAGTTGAAATACTCTTTCATAAGCTACTCAAGGACAGGTATACCGGACTAGGAACGGTTCTACAGTATCGCAACTATAAGCTAGTCGATTCATGTATGAAGCCCTCGTTTGCTCCGTCTCAACGGTCAACGTACATAATTGCAACCGTTATCCAGGCATCTTGTCCGTTTCTGGGACCTTTGAGCAGGAGGATAGGGGGCAGCAGTTGGATATGAGAGACATTTTGTAGGCAACCGTTATTTTCAGGACTTTTTGTCCTTCAAAGACCAGCATGAGGCCAACATGTGCAGGGATATGATACATAGTCTAAAAGCAGCGACCTTCCCATGATCCAGGTACCTAATGATTGATATTAAGAAAAACAGCAAACTCCAAAGCGTCCAAATCGCCTTGCTCTGGAAGGAAAGCATAATGAGCAGTTTAGTAATTGAGCTCACCACTTCCACCACCCGAAACCTGGTCCAAATCCTCGTAACTCTTGAGGCTTCGGCCCTGGACTGCCTCTCGAGGCCCGCCTGCAGCACCTCCAGCGCCGTCGCCCCAGCGTGACCCGCCATTGCGGTTACGACCACCGTCAAAACGGTTGCCGCCTCGGCGATCATAAGGTCCAGAACGGTATTGGCCTCGTCCACCACCCATTCCTCCACGACGGATAGGTCCTCCACCAGAGCGTTCGTCCATAGGATTCCAACTTCCGGACTGCATGTTTGCAAACATGGGCGAGAAGTTGCCTGGGGCCATGGGGAAGCCAGGCACACCTCCTCCCATCATACCGTTCATGGTAAAGTTCTGCAGGTTGAAGCCTCGTGGTGTTCCACTGCTGGATTGGCCATTGGAAGGCGGGAAGTGACCATTTGAGTTTGCGTCGGTTCTTGAGGGTGCAATGTGAGAGGGGTCCATCACATATGAGTTTATGAGTTCAAACTAAATATCTTGGTCAGTACAGCACGATGAAATGTGACGGGGCGCGAGGCTCACCTCTTGCCTCAGGTTATCAAGCCAATCGCCGTGGCGCTTCTCGACGTGTTTGCGCCAAAAATGCTCTTCCTTGAACAACTTGGAGCACTCGGGAGCTTTGCATCGCCATTTGTGTTCATCCTCTTGCTTCACATGTTTAAGAAGCTCTTCATCGACAGCCTCATCAGCAGGTCGGCCACCCAGCTTTCGAATATCGACAGATTGAGGATCCAGAATTTGGGTAAGCTTATCTTCGAAAGTTTTAACCCAGTTAAACGCTCGAAGCAGTTGCTGCTCCGTCTTGTTTGAGGCGTTTCGAAACCTTTTTTCACCTTCAGTAAGCTCACCCTCGTTCTCTTCTGCTCCTTCGCCCCTCTTCTTGCCTGGAAATGGCTCTCCATTGGCGCTGGCTCTAGCAACAGCTTTCGCGGCAGACGAAAGTGTGCTGCGAGGTCTGCGCAAATGGCCACCAGGGCATTTTCGTGTAAGTTCGTGAACTGAATCACTTTCGAAAACACAAAAGAAGCAGAAGTTGAAGACGCGGCGCAGATATTCAATCAGAAGATCAAGTTGCTTCTTCTTGACCAAAAGATCCTCGTCATCAACTTCTTCATCTTCTACGGCCCCCTCCTCCTCTTCCTCTTCTTCCTCAATTTCAATGACGCCGTCTTCTTCCTCGTCCATAGCTTCGTCCATGCCCACTTCTCTGACCTTCTTGACTTTCTTGACAGGGGTTGGAACCATAGCCGGTTGAAGCTGACCCGCATTTTTCAGGTCCTCGACCTTTTCTTCAATTTTCAGAGTGGCTTGGAAATCGGATCCGAATTCTTCCTCAAACTTGTTGACAATTCGCTGAACAAGCAAAAGGTCCTTGTCGATGCGCTCAGGAGCGGAGAAGAGATCCCACAGGGCCTTCTTTCGGGGATGGACAGGTGGGTTGTGGACTCCAACGTGACAAACAAAGTCTCCCCTGACCTCATCTTTTACAGTCTTGCCGTTGATGGCCTCCAGAGCCTTGTCGGCAGTAGATACTGGTTGAGGAGATGTTATCGCCTCATCGCCATCCTCATCCTTGGGCTCAGCGCGGTCTACGGGGAGTGATGTTTCGGATGAAGGATGGAGCATGACCCAACCAATGCGGTGGTACCGCTTACTTGGATTGGGATCAGATAAAGAAAGCCATTTGAAGCCACCTTCCTCCTCGCCCAGATGTTCCTTACAAAAGGCCTCCAGGTTATGGCGGCTAACATGCGGGGCGATGGTCTTGATCAACAGAGTTGGCTGGAACTGGCTCTCGTCGCGGATGTCAGCACCATTGACTGGAACCAGATCTCCAACACCCAGGATCTCATTTGTGGCTGTAGCTTCTCCTTCCTCCTTTTCAACTACACCGCCACTGCCGTTACTCTCACTCTTGGGAAGACCCTCGAGAGAAAATTCGTCAAAGGTACCCGATTCAAGATCTTGCTCCCACTGGCTGTAAGCACCGCGTCGGTATTCGTTCAGCTTTCCTCTGAAATCATCACGAATTTCCGGAACATATCGCTCCTTGAACCATTGCTCTTTCTTATGCTCAGAAACAAAGGTCCGCGCCATCTTGGCTTGAAGTTCTTCTTTATAAGCATCATATGCGGCTTGGATCCTGGCCTTCTCCTTTTCGCGATCTTCTGGGCCGCGAGCCCGTTCCGGTTCGCGGCGTCGACCAGTACGCATTCGCTCTTTCTCCTCCTTGATCTTCTCGTTCATTCTCCACCATTCTCCAAAGTAGGAGAAACCAACTTGGTAATGGAGCTTGGCAGGGTCGGGGATGGGGTTCACGGTTGGATTAGCTGACCCGGAATCCTGACCAGGTACGTATCGGTCAATATTGGCAGGTGGTGACTGCATGCGACGTCTGTCATCACGGTCGCGATCATCTCGTCGGGGTCTGGGTTCGTAGCGGTCGACAGTGGCTGGAGAGCGAGACCTGCGGCGGTCGCGGCGGTCGTGACCTTGGGACTTGTAAGCTTTGTCTATTTTTACTATGCTGAAGCCTGCCACCAAGTAGTGGCAGGAAGCAAAATCGCCTATGGAGGACGAACCTGGAGATCTCCCACGGTAAAATGAGTCCCCGCGGTCAGGACGCTCATCTCGAGTACGCGAGTCATCTCGGCTCCAATTACGGTCAACCGGAGAACGAGCTGAAGCGTCGCGAAAGGATGTGTACGAGTCCATCGTTTGTATCGTTGCTAGCGACGCGACGCGGCATGAAAGAAAGCGATATTTCTATGTGAGTCTTCGCGGCTCGATATTGAGCACTTAGCGAGGAATACAGAGGAATTATCTATTATTTGATAACATGATCGACGTTAGAGAGGTTATCTTGAGCAACGTATGGGCAAATGGTAGTGGAGGGAACAAAAAGAAGGTTGCCAAAGAGGCGCCATAAAGAAAAAAGTTAGGGGACAACGCGCCCTGGGCGAAGAATGAGTGTGAGAAGAATTGAGAAGAATGATTTGAAAATCGCAGATTGGTATGCCGCGTCAAATAGTGAGGAGGAAGGGAGAACGCGAGGCTGCGGATGCGGCTGGATCGAATAGCTGCAAGAGCTGCAAAAGGGATAAGGGGGGAAAAGAGCAGGAGATCAAAGAATATGGGGAGACAAACTAATTGACGAGCGCAGTCTTAAATAATAATTCAATGCAGTGATAGCGCTTGAGTCGATATATGCGCGCCCTCACTTCACAGCGACGACAATTCAATGCGATTCGATGTGATGAGTGAAGTGAGGTTGAAGAGGCTGAGTTGGTTGGTAGACTGGGGGCCAGTCGGAATTACAGTTCAGCTGGTAAGCGAAATGGTGGAGCACGAGCAAGGATCCCCGGGGCCTCCGCTTCTAAGAAGATGGATCTCTATGCCGAGAACGAGAAGCTCTGAGGCTGCTCTAGGAAAAGCGCGTAACATATATCATCCAGCTACCTTACCGAATCACATTGGTCTGTGCTATTTCTCCAGTTTGATACCGTTTTCTCGGATTTCTAGACGCTATAACTTATCTGCTCTACCGTGATTTATTACCAATGTAGGTAGGTAGTTTTCAACAACTGATCCCGTAATCGTTAAACGGTCTGAAGCAATGAATTAGGCTAACGAGGCACCTGCCTTCCCTCCGCAAAAAACTGACCAATAATCAACGTGAAAAGGCCTGTCGGCAAGCAGCGAATGTTGATACAGTGCCTGGAAACAGGAAAGTGGCGATCTCCGCTTGCAACTAACACTGGAATCTGGGGGCGTATCCCGATGTGCTCAGTGCTTGAATCACTAAAAGGGCGGCAAACAACAAGGCAGCTGACCATGATAAGATGTCTATTTGTTCGGACATTGTCATAGCCACGGCGGTCCTGTTGTCTCCTTTCCACTGTTTTACAGCTAATTCAGCCAAACTGGAGCAACTTTAAACCCTGGTGTCATAACCAACTTCCCTCCTCGGCTTGGTTCGAGCATGTCTTGTCCTCCACTCTTCACCCCACTCCCACTCTCTATCGCTCGTGATAGTGCCATAGAACTCCTCATCAGAATATGATAAGGGTCGTGCGGCGTATAACAAGCTCTCAATATCCACTGGAAGTGCTTGGTCTTTTTTTTTTTTTGTGTCAAAGGAACTTGAAATATTGGGAAGTTTGGTTTCCCTACACTCGACTCATCTTGCACATAAGTTGTCAAGATGACGGTGCCTACTATGGGTGGCGACTCAAGCTATAATCGAGCCGTGGAGCAATTTAGAGAAGCTGAATATCCAATGATTCAAGGTCATGATACCTATATATGCTTCTGAACTGTACTGACCTGTGAAAAGACTCGATATACCTTGATCACGCCGGCGCAACATTATGTTCCAAGTCATTGATGGACTCGTTCGCTCACGAGATGACTACAGTTCTATATGGCAACCCCCACTCTGCATCACCATCCTCGCAGCAATCAGCATCTCGCGTTGAAGATGCTCGTATGAATTTGCTCACCTTCTTTGGAGCGGACCCAACTGAGTATGATGTGGTGTTTGTTGCAAATGCCACAGCGGGAGTCAAACTTGTCGTTGAATCTATAAGAAATCAACCAGAGGGTTTTCTATATGCATATCACCAAGGATGTCACACAAGCTTGGTCGGCGCTCGAGAGGAAGCTGTTTATAGTACATCGGTTGATGATGACGATGTTCAATCATGGCTTGAAGGGCAGTTCCCGTTCCGAAACATGACCGATAACTCGTCAGCAATAACACTGTTTGCCTATCCTGCGCAATCCCATATGGATGGTAAAAGATATCCCTTGAATTGGGCGAAAAGTTTACGGGAGTTGTATTGCAAACCCGAACATCGACTTCTCACATTATTGGACGCCTCTTCGTTTGCTGCTACGTCTTATCTCGACTTCAGCGATCCAAATTTAGCACCAGACTTGACTGTCTTCAGCTTGTATAAGATTTTTGGATTTCCGGATCTTGGAGCTTTGCTAGTGAAGCGTTCCTCCGAATGGATGTTTGACAATCGCAAGTATTTTGGCGGAGGCACGGTAGACATGGTCGTTTCTGGAAAGGAGAAGTGGCATGCCCCCAAGTCACAGTTCCTCCACGAGAGGCTAGAAGACGGGACACTTCCGTTTCACAACATAGTGGCTCTCGACATTGCCATGGATATACATCGACGACTATTTGGTTCCATGGATCAAATCAGCTCCCATACTTCATACCTCACCCAACGCATGTTCCAAGAATTGAGCAACATGCGCCATGCAAACGGCACCCCGGTTTGCAAACTATATACATCTGCATCTAGCGACAAAAACATTCTTGGAAACGGGCCTGTCATTTCTTTCAATCTAAGGAATTGCCAGGGCGCTTGGATAAGCCTTGCCGAGTTTGAGAAACTTGCGAATCTCAAAAACATCCATATTCGGACCGGCGGGCTATGCAGCCCAGGCGGCATTGCTTCAGCCCTAGACTTGCAACCTTGGGAGATGAAGAAGAATTTCTCAGCCGGGTTTCGTTGCGGTGCAGACAATGATATCATGTCCGGGAAGCCCACCGGTGTCATTCGAGCTAGCCTCGGTGCAATGAGCACGAAAACAGATGTCGATGGATTTGTTGCTTTTCTCAAGGAGTTCTACCAAGAAAGAACGTTACCAAACGTTTCTTCTGATCTAGATCTCCAGAAATCCATCGACGTCCCTAACTCTTCCGCACTCAAGGTTAAAACTATTACTATCTACCCAATAAAAAGCTGCGCCGGGTACTCGATCCCATCTGGGGTTCCTTGGGAGGTTCGACCAGAAGGTCTAGCATGGGATCGTGAATGGTGCTTGGTCCATCATGGTTCTGGACATGCTTTGAGTCAGAAACGCTGCCCTAAAATGGCTTTGTTAAGGCCAACATTAGATTTTGGCAAGGGCGAGCTGATCATCGCATATCGTGGGACACAGCATAGCGGCCAGCCAAGCCAAATATCCATCCCATTATCAGCAGACCCTTCTGTCATTGACTCCAGCATTGACAGGCAATCTTCCAAAGTTTGTGGCGAGAAGGTGAGCACACAGATATATACATCGGACAGGATCAATTCTTTTTTCTCGAATGCTCTTGGGATTCCTTGTTTCTTGGCGCGCTTCCCCCCTGGTGGCTTGGGGCTGAAGAGCCGTCTTTCCAAGGCTCAAATTCAAAGATATCAACAGCCTTCAAAAATCCACACATTACCAGGTTCCTTCCCAGATGTGCCATCACCTCCCGATTCGGACTCTGAACAGCAGAAACCTACCAAGATTCTTCTCTCTAACGAGAGTCCTATCTTGGTAATCCATAGTTCGAGTGTTGATGCTCTGAACCAGCAAATCATTGACCGTGGTGGAAGCTCAGTCGAAGATAAGTCATTTAGAGCAAATATAACACTCGAACAAGGCCCTGGTTTTAAAGCACAGCCAGCCTTTTCTGAGGATCGCTGGGGCTCTATGAGCATTGGTCGCCAGAACTTCAGGCTTCTGGGTGCATGCCGCAGATGTCAGATGGTATGTATAGACCAAGAAACTGGCGAAAAGAAGGAAGAGCCATTCGTGACGCTTGCAAAGACAAGGCTCTTCGATGGCAAAGTTTACTTTGGGGTACATATGCGGCATGATCCTTTCGCTGGAGGAGACGTTATGAAAAAAGAGTCACAATACCCAACAATTGAGGTTGGAGATTCTGTTTCTGTAGAGCTTCGTGAGTGATTCAATCACGTTTTACGGAACATGAGCTCGCATTTGTAGCAGTAAACTAACTATCAAAATAATGAAATGCATTCTTCCGAGAGGCCACGATTGAGTAGACAAACAACTATGCTAAACTTGACCACTTTTCGGCTACGGTCTGCCTTCTGAAGCACTCTTGCATTTTACCTCGCAGTACGATCCAGGTTGAAAGCAGCACTGATCAAGGCTAGATGACTGAATGCCTGGGGTGTATTACCAAGTTGTTCCCCAGATCTTGCGATCTCCTCAGAGAACATGCAGAGATGATTAGAGAATCCGAGCATATTCTCAAACAGATTCACAGCCCTGACCAGATACTTCGGTTCGTAGACAGCTGCTCGGGTCATGGCCTCCACGAGCCAGAAAGTACACATACTAAACGCACCTTCATGACCGCCTACCCCTATATCGCGATTTTGTCCCATTAGCAACTGCGCCTCGATGAAGTTATTGTGGGATTCCTTACCATCGTTGGAGAGCTCAGTGTCATATCGGTACACTAAGCCGGTACTTGTCAAACCGCCCTTTTCTGGGGGTAAGAGAATACGGTCAAGAGTGTTGAGAAATCGTGGATCACAGGGCGAGATGAAAAACACCAGAGGAGCTATAAGAATGGAGGAGTCGAGCATAGTTTTGCTCTCAAAGCTTTGCACAAAGCACTTCATCTCCTCATTATATCCTGTAAATAGTCAACACCATTCATCAATGGAATTCCTGCTTAGATTACCTTGTTCCATGACACGCTCATAAATTCTGTCTCTTGCCTCCATCCATTTGGCGCGGTTGGGACATGGAAAGCATCTCTTATCGGCAAGACGAAGGCCGCGATCAAATGCGACCCAGAGCATTATCTGAGAATAGGTGAAGTGCTGCTTATTATTTCGGACCTCCCAGATAGACATGTCGGGGTCTATAGTGTTTAGCTAAAACTGGAAGTTAAGGGTTATATGTCTTAC